AGCAGCAGAGACCAGCAGATCTCCAGGTCTCCACAGCTGGTTGGTCAACCAGTGTATGGTGATCTCCAAAGCTCATTGGCCAACCAGCATCAAAGACCAGCACGGGCTGGTTGGCCAACCAGCTTCGGAGATCACCATGTACTGGTTGACCAACCAGCTTTGGAGACCACCATGTGCTGGTTGACCAATGAGCTTTGGAGACCACCATGTGCTGGTTGACCAATGAGCTTTGGAGACCACCATGTGCTGGTTGACCAACCAGGGACCACCACATGCTGGTTGACCAACCACCTCTGGAGACCACCGTGTGTTGGTTGACCTATCAGCTTTGGAGCCCACCACAAGCTCCTTGGCCAACCAGATGAAGACAACATTTGGAGACCACCGGGTGCTGGCTGACCAACCAGCTTTGGAGACCACCATATGCTGGTTGACCAATGAGCTGTGGAGACCAGTACGTGCTGATTGGCTAATTGGCTTCGGAGATCTGGACACGCTTCGTTGGCCAACCAGCTTTGGAGACCAGCGCCTGTTGATTGGCTGTCCAAATTATGACATCAACACACGCCGATTGTCCAGCAAGCTTTGGAGACCACCATGTGCTGGTTGACCAACCAGGGACCACCACATGCTGGTTGACCAACCACCTCTGGAGACCACCGTGTGTTGGTTGACCTATCAGCTTTGGAGCCCACCACAAGCTCCTTGGCCAACCAGATGAAGACAACAGCACGTGCCGATTGGCTGGCTAGCTTTCGAGAGCAGCCACATGACCACGACACACGTCCACATGATTACGACACGCTTCCACCAGCCCACAACGCAGGTCCACACGTCCATGACACATGTCCATGACATATGTTTGCATGTCCACAACACACGTCCACCTGTCCACAACACATGTCCACACATCCACATGTCTGTGACATGCCCACAACACATGTCCACGTGTCCACCAGTCCACAACACACATCCACATGTCCATGACATGCCCACAACATGTGTCCACACATCCACCAGTCTACAACAATGTCCACATGTCCATGACACATGTCCACCAGGCCATGACACACGTCCACACGCCCACAACACATGTCCACATGTCCACGACACATCTCCACACGTCCACAACACATGTCCACCAGTCCACAACGTGTGTCCACACATCCACCAGTCCACATGTCTGCATGTCCATGACACACATCTACAACACGTGTCCACCTGTCCACCTCTCCACACGTCCATGACATGTGTCCACATGTCCACCAGTCCACAGTACATGTCCAGATGTCCATGACACACGTCCACATGTCCATGACACATCTCCACATGTCCACAACACATGTCCACCAGTCCACAATACACATCCAGAAGTCCGTGACATGCCCACAACACGTGTCCACACGTCCACCAGTCCACAACACATGTCCACATGTCCATGACACATCTCCACACGTCCACAACACACGCCCACCAGTCCACAACACACATCCAGAAGTCCATGACATGCCCACAACACGTGTCCACATGTCCACCAGTCCACAACACATGTCCATATGTCCATGACACATGTCCACATGTCCATGACACATCTCCACACGTCCACAATGCACGTCCACCAGTCCACTACATGTGTCCACACATCCACCAGTCCACAACACATGTCCACCAGTCCACAACACACATCCAGAAGTCCGTGACATGCCCACAACACGTGTCCACATGTCCACCAGTCCACAACACATGTCCATATGTCCATGACACAAGCCCACATGTCCATGACACATCTCCACACGTCCACAACGCACGTCCACCAGTCCACTACATGTGTCCACACATCCACCAGTCCACAACACATGCCCACATGTCCATGACACATCTCCACACGTCCACAACGCACGTCCACCAGTCCACTACATGTGTCCACATGTCCATGACACATGTCTACGACGCATGTCCACCTCTCCACACGTCCATGACACGTCCCCACCACGAGCCTATCCACCTCTGCACGCTGACCTGTAGGGGCACACTCGCGCTAGAAGGTGCGGCCGCCCTGTGCCCTTTGCACGCTCGCGAGGGCGGGGCTTCCGGCAGAGGGGCGTGGCCTGGAGGTGGGAAGGGCGGGGCTTGCTCGCCCCTCGTCTCCACCCCGAGCCGGGTGTGAACAGGGCTTGGCCCGACTGGTTCTCTCGGTGGGGGGCCCCTCGTTAGCGAGCTCTTAATTGGGGCCAATTAAGGCGCCCACGCGCTCCCGGGAGGAACCGGGCTCGGGCTCTACTCCGGGTTTACACAACCCGCCGTAACCCCACGTGGGGGTGGGGGCGTGGGGTGGTCGCGTGGTGGTGGGGGGGGACATGTGGGACCGTGGGGGGCTGGACGTGGCCTCCAGAGATGGACATGCATGGTGGGGGGTCACCATCCGTGGCTGCCTGAGCTGCACATGCGTGTCCTCACAGCTCGGACATGTGTGTCCACTTGCTGTGGACATACGTGGCCTCTAGACCTGGACATGTGTTCTCCAGACCTGGGCACATGCGGCCATGGATTTTCCCACCATGGCCACCAGCACCAGATATGTGGTTGTGGGTTGCCACCATGGCCACCAGCAACAGAAGTGTGGTTGCAGGTTGCCACCACGGCCACCAGCACCAGACAACCACAGCCACGAGTTGCCCACCATGGCCACCAGCCTCAGATATGTGGTATGGCCACCAGCATCAGATATGTGGTTGCAGGTTGCCACCACGGCCACCAACACCAGACATCCATGGCCACGAGTTGCCCACCATGGCGACCAGCACCAGATCTGTTGTTGCGGGTTGCCACCGTGGCCTCTAGCACCAGATACACGTGGCCCTGACTTGTCCACCATTGCCATCAGCATCAGATACGTGGGTGCAGGTTGTCACCATGGCCACCACCACCAAGCATATGTGGCCACAAGTTGCCCACCATGGCCACCAACACCAGAACTGTGGTTGCAGGTTTGCCACCATAGCCACCAGCACCAGATACACATGGCCACGAGTTGCCCACCATGGCCACCAGCAACAGATGTGTGGTTGCTGGTTGCCACCATGGCCACCAGCACCAGATACATGTGGCCCTGACTTGGCCACCATGGCCACCAACACCAGAAGTGTAGTTGCAGGTTGCCACCATGGCTACCAGACACCAAACATGCGTGGCCACCAGGTGTCCACCACAGCCACCGACCCCAACCCTCAGAACTGGAGCTATTTCCTCACCACGTTCACGGTGGCCATGATGCTCCCACACCTCCCCCCGGCCCCCCGGCCTCGGTGGCCATGGTGGAGCCACGGGACGGCTCAAGGTGGCCACGTTTCACAGGACTTTATTCCAGGAGCTCTTCCCCAGCGCACAGGGAGGGCGGCGGAGCATGGGGGAAGGGAGAAGAAGCCCCCTGGTGTTCTG